TAGTATTTTAAAATATCCAAACAATGTATTTAAAAATACATGTATTTGAAATTCATTTTTTTAATTCAATCCAAACAATGTATTTCAAAATACATGTATTTTAAATACATGTATTTCAATTACACTCATCAAATTCAAATTTAAGTTCCCAAACACAACCTTAATGATTTGTGAAAGTTATATAAAATTGTGATATAAAAGAATTGTTTCTATGTCACCACCAATTATTTTTATTGGGTTAAAGTCTTTAGCATTTTTATTAATTAAGCTTGGGGAGTCCAACTTTATTTACTTTAGGAAGTGGATTTGACAGTGGAGAGTTTGTTAAGTTAAAAGGAATCATATGGCCTAAAGGAGAGTACCATTAAGTACTTTTAGATTCTATCTATTTAAATCTTATGAGTTGGTGTTCTATTAGAAATCAAATTTTTATCCTTCGGGAAGGCTAGAGATTTACTCATTAATTTAAAAAAAAGATTGACTCAATTAAATGAAGTAAGATAGGGCTGATTTTTAGGGATTTCATTTGGTGGATTTTTGCTAGGATTCTAGTTGTGTTTTATCTATTTCTGGGTAACTGGCAGAGTGCAGGAAGGAGAGAAAATCAGGGTTCTTGAGATCATGTTTCCTTATGAATGGAGGGGTGGTTCAAATTTGATTTTTACTAGTGGGAGCAATTATAGAGGCATATAAATTCTAGTTTTGAAGACATTATTGGGTTACCCAAGCTTATCCTTCAACACAAATCATTTATCTTTCAAAGCTCTTTGTAAGCATCCTTTAGTTTAGTCTAGCCTAGCGATCTCTTAGTTTTAGACTATTTTCCAACATCTTTTCTTCAAGTTTTTAGTCCAGTAGAAGTAGATCAATGTCCTCAGTGGATTCTTGTTCTTAGTTGATTTAGTTTCTTGGGTAATATTAGTTCCTATGATTTTTTCTTATTATTGTGGTTTGCTTTTACTAAGTTTCTCAATTGTTAAACATTCAATTTGATTTCAATTCAAACATATCTATAATTTCAATTAAATTTAAAGTCTTTTGCTTTTCTAATATGTTTTCTTGATTTTTGCCAAATTTACTTTTTCTACCTACAATTTTAGTTTTTGTTTAGCTATGTTTTCTACACTGTAGTCCTTGATGTGCTTCCAAGGCAAGTTTGAGCTCATTGTGCAGAAATTAATTCCTTATTTCTACCAATCATCTAATTCGGGTGCATTACATTTTAAATGACATTCTTCCAACCGCCTTTTCACAAGGAAAAAACGATGCAGAAGGAGAGGGTACTTAGCGAATCCTTCTCCTACTTTCTTGCAAATGTAGGTGGCATGCCTTCATTACAATTCCTACCTCGAGGTGTGGCCAATAGGATTTTAAGGGTAACACATTCTAATAAACCCTCCAATTATTTTTAAGGTGAGTATTGGGTATGGGTATACCCATTACCTCTAAATAACTTAATCGTTTAAATAAGTAGCATATTTGAATGGTAGAAAAAATGAGTAAGTAATGGATATAAAAATAACATACAATAAATATCAAATCAAATAATAAATATAAGGGTTCAAAATTATTTGCTTGACCTATTTAATCAATTTGTTTAATTGATTTGTTACCTATACTTATATAATTGAAATTTTACATGTAGTTATTATACTTAATAATTATATAATAATAATAAGTTTTAAAAATAAAAGTAATAAAATAAAAAACAAAGTTAAGTAACGTCTATAAACCAACAACTCACATACATAGCAATAATAACTTGTATAAATTATAATCTCTAAATCAAACACATAAAACATGTAACAATAACATCTCATACTAAACATTTTCTTCATCTAAGCCAAGTAGATGCCTATAAGTTATCTACTAAGTATAAATTTTTGAGTTTTTAAATAGATATCAAATCTAAAAAATTGTATCTTAAAATTTTCAAATTTTATTCCCAACATTTACCCGAAAATGCAAACCCGAAGTTGTTTTCTCTCGATGCTAACAACCATTAAAAAGCCCAAACAACAAAGCGACCCAATGGATATAATTTGGACTTTGGATCCATTCTCGCTTGACCGAATTTAACAGAAGGTGAAGAAGTTTCGATTTGAATCCATGATCAAATATCGGCCTAGTCCCAATACCAGATTGATATAAGTAGGGGTGGGTATTTTCGGATACAGGTTGTGTATAAGATGTATTTGATGTTTGATTTGAAAATTTTTAGCTACAGGTTTTTAGATTTGAAACTTACTCAAATACTTGAAAATCTATGCTTGATATTTAACTCAATAAGTGCTAAGTAACTTGCAGGTATACATTTATATACTTATCGGATGATATTTTGCTTTAATTTTTTTAAAATTAAAATTTAATAAAATATTATTTGCTTTTAATCTAAATTTAAATAAAATTAGTAAAATTTTAATAAAATATTATTTTTACAATTTAAACTTAAATATAATATAAAATAATAATAAAGAACTAAAATTTGATTTCATATCAAAAACTCAAATTTATGTACTATTAAAAAACCAAACTTAATTAAATAATTACTAATATAGAACAAAAATATGTACAAAAAATAAAGAATGAAAATAAAATAAATAACGGTTTTTAGGCTCATAATCTCCATAACCCTTTATTTCAGTTTGTTAAAAAGAGAATAGTATCTGATGATATTGTATATAATATTCTGATATCCATGCATTTGACTTATGATTCTTCTTATATTAAATTTGGAGTTTAAAATTAAAAAATCATATATACAATAAACAAAAACTATAACTTGAAAATCACTAATAAAAAAGTAAAAAGAAAATTAAAAAGAATTAAAATTTGAAGTTTTAAGTATTAATCATTATCTAAGAGTGTATGGAAGGAAAAAAGTTGTCTATGAATGTAATATGTGTTTATTTTTAGGGTTTATTATTTATAAGCAATGAGTATGATTTTTTTTTTTGTATTTTATTATTTTTATTTTTAAAAATTATTGTTATTATATGGATAATAAATATAATAAGTGTATATCAAATTTCAATTATACAAGCATAAGTAACATGTTAATTAAATAAATCAAGTAAATAAGTTTGAATCCTTATACTCATTACTTAACTTAATACTTGCAAATACTATTTTTATATGAGCACTGCTACGGGCACTCGCTTTTTGCACTCTCCGGCCAACACTTCCCCTTTCATTGGGCCACGTAACCTTCTTTAAAGCTTTCAGGGCAACATCTCGGAAACCAAAATAACGTGGCCCAATAAAAGAGAAAGTGTTGGCCGGAGAGTGCAGGAGGCGAGTGCCCTTAGCATTGCTCATTTTTATACTTATTACTTATTCAAATTTTTTACAGTTCGGATAAAAACTTATCTAAATAACTAAAATGCTTTTAAATAACGACATACTAATCCTCAATGCTCACCCCAAGATATAATTTGGAATTGGACCCATTCTCTTTCTTTTACATAAGGATGACAACGAGTTTGGCGGGCACAGGACCCTCCCTTCGCATCCTGACCCCGTCAATAGCAGGTACGGGATTCTCGCCAAAATTTTTGGTGGGCATAAAATTTGTCTCTGCCGGGATTCCCCATTGCCGCAGAACTTCAATATAAAGAATGAAAAAATTTTGCCCCATTCAGGCATAAGAACAAACGTATAATATCCCAAAATTTTCTAAAACCTTATAATTTAAATTAGGGACTTATGTGAGAAAAACTATCTTCTTCTGGGCTTAATGGTCACAAATTTCAAACTTAAGGGGGTGGATTTTTTTTAAAAAAAGGTGGGGGCCGGGTTTCAGGAGTATAAGCTTAAGCTCTCCGATTCCCCCATTTTCCTTCTTGTTTTGAAACCCTAACTCATCCCCCACCATCCTCAGTTTGTCACCACCATCCTCCATCCTTCACCAACTCTCGTCACCGATCCTGCCCCTCCAAATCCTTTCACCCACATCTCATAAATCCCCTAAGTAGCAGCTCATTGTTCCCTACTCCGCCGCAGTCGCGTGTTGACTTCAATAGCCTTGGGTTTCCCTTTTCGACAAGCAAATGCTAGTCCCCCCTCAAGTTCTGGCTATCTTTGCCCTTCGGGCTTCCATTTTAGGAGGAATCATCTTTCTCACTCACAATTTTCTAGTAAAATTGAGCATGAAACCAATCTCGTTCTTCCTCTAATTTTGGTAGATTTAAATGAATATTGACCATTTAGATTTGGGGGAAATGCATAGGATTTATGAGTATTCCGTTTCTTATCTTTTTGAAAGATTGTGACACTGTTTGTCTAGTGTTTAGTTGTTGTTCTGCTTAGATTCCCCTGCTATCTTTGCCATGAAATTTTACTGTTCATGCAAAAAATTATGCTGTCTTTGCTGCTGTTTTACTAGAAAATCCTGTTGTTTTTGCCATAAAATTTTACTGTTCATGCAAAAAAAAAATTATGCTATTTTTGCTGCTGCATTTTCTGTAACCTGTTTTGCTACTGCATTTTCTACAACTTGTTTTTCTATTGTACTTTTCTGCAATCTGTTTTTCTGCTATATTTTTCTGCAATCTGTTTTGCTGCATTTTCTGTAACTTGTTTTGCTGCTGCATTTTCTGTAACTTGTTTTGCTGCTGCATTTTCTGTAACTTGTTTTGCTGCTGCATTTTCTACAATCTTGGCTGCTTTTGCTTCTGCATTTTTGCTACATTTCCCCAGTTGTTTCTGCACTGTTTTTAAACCAGAAAATTCTGTATTTTCCCCAGAAAAATTTTGCATTTTGCTGCATTTTTCCTTGCTGTTTTCAGCAGTATTTTCCCCCAAAATTTTTTTGCCATTTGCCAAGTTTTGCTGCTCCTTGCCGAAAATGTTTGGTAGGTCAACTGTCATTTTTGGAAATTTATATATGACTATACGTGTGAGTTATATATATATATATACTAGTAAGGTTTTGGTGGGTAGAATGGCAAGAGGAGATAGGGAGAAATTGTTCCTTTGGTATAGAACTTGGTACTAGAATTAAAGATCAATTTTAGTTGAATAAGGCAAGTTGTGACCCTGTTGTTCTTAATTATGAAATAGGTTCTAAGTCACCACCATGTCCTTGAAACCTTGAATACTTGCTGTTGTAATCCTACAAGAAGAGGTAAGTAAAAGTATGGTAATGCTTTTGGATTTGAGGTAAAGGTTTTTGAAAACATATTTCCGATGGTTTATGAAATGGTTTGAAATGGTGGCGGGACTAAACTCGTTTTACACAAACACGAGCATGATTGGTTTGAAATAAAATTATTATCATTTTCATTGAGTTGAGCATGCCTACTTGGAGTTTACTCAACTGCCCTGATGATCTAGAAATTATTTGTAAATTATGATTTTCCTGTTAAATCCTGCCTCGTTTTGTCTCCAATATGGTCATGTTTTACTATGCCCGTTAATGGGAGGTTTATAAACGCTAGCACATGCCATGTATTCCTAGGAACTGGTTCATCTTATATTCTTGCCAGTGGGATAATACACTCGTTACTACTGTACTCGCCAGTGGGAGGTTTATAAATGCTGGCCATAACCTATAGAGGAGACGTCTATTTCATTCCTGTACTTGTACCAGTTTTATTTTTTTTGATACGTGATTACACTTGTTGGCATGCTATAAATTTTAATTAAGGGCAATCCATATTCTTACTTACTGAGTTATCTCACAATTTTTCCTCGCCCACCATTTCAGGTACTAAAACCTAAGACGTAAGAAAATTGATGGGAGTGACGAGCTAAAAGGCTAGCCATTTGTGTTTCAGACTTAGATTATCTTGGAGTTAGACTAGCCACAATATTTGGACTTAGCTTATTTTATAATTAGGTTTGCAGAATAAATTTTATTTTCAGATTTTTGCAAAATTGTTCTATGGATTGTAATTATGAATTTAACAAGTTCTGAATCTTGTGCATTTGTGGGATCCTCTCATAAGTGTACGGCATCTATTTTCGCCCTTAGATTTGAGTTCTGGGGCGTGACAAAACTCCTGGTGAGCATGGGAACAAACGCCTGGTAAGCATGAGAACAAACGCCTGGTGAGTATGAGTAAGAATAGATCCAATATTCTAACATCGATAGATTCAGCATTTGAATTGAACATAAAAGGACAAACAGATAGCAATATCATCAACATATTCAACAATTTGAACTCCAAATGACAGAAACAAATAGCAATCACTCCGAGGAGAGCTGAAGAGGAACAACAGCCAACAACCAGCAACTCGTTGCTTTCTCAAGTTGATAAAGAGCCAGATAGATCCTTAGATAGTCCGATCAGTGAGGGAGGAATGAAGACTTAAAAAAGAGAGAGAGAGAGAGAGAGGAAGGAATGAAGTATCGGAGAGGATCAGGGGAGGTGAGCAACGGTGGCGTTAGATGAGACTGGATGGGTTTTGTTGGATTTTTTAGGGTAAGAAGGAAGGGTTGAGAGAGGACTTGGAGGAGAAGGAGAGACACCCGGAGACATAGCCACAAACATAGAATAGAACCATAAACATGGAAGGGTGCGACATTCACCCAATCGGAGAGGAGAAACCATGCTCCCTTTCTCTCAATTTTCATCAATTTCTTCCTTCCTTTTTATAGAGTAAGGTTACACATAAAGCAATAATATTTTTCTACCTAAACTATAATTATTAACTACCTAAAACATTGACTAAAATGATGAAGTTTGCTGCCATTTCTTGTAGCTCATGTGAAGCTCCATGCTGCTGTCACTTTGCTACTACTGTGCAGTCATGTTGCAGCATCATTTAGCAGATCTCATTTCACTACATATTCAGCTTTCATGCCATAACTCCAACAAACTCCTCCTTGGCATTAAAGCTGCAGAAACACAATTTTACTTTAGCACATTGAATCTGCCATTTTCAGTTTTGTCTTTGGTTTGGTTTGTTGTTGTTTGCTGCCTAGTACCATCTTCTCAAATATTTCAGCTCCTCCTGCAAATCAGCTTCATCTTTGTTAGATTTTTTTTGTTTGAAAAAATTCATGAGCCTTAAACATTTTCAGCAACTCCACCATTGCAGCAGCTTTGTCCGTGGATCTTTTTTGCTTCAGTACATTCTCAAGTTGTGATTTTGTGCTTGGTCTTGGTTGCTCCTCCATCAAACTTCTTTGCCATAAAGCCATGGGTTCACAAGTACATAAACATGAAGAGTTTTTCATTTTTTTTTTTAATGAAAAAACTCTTAACATTCAGAAATACAAACATAAAAGATGGTTGAAGAACAAAGAATGAAACTGAGATGTGCTCAGTTTGCCATCATCTCCATCAAACATTCTTTGCCATGAAGCCGTGCGAGTTTAGAACATCATAGCCACATCCATGAAGAGTTTTCTTGGGAAAACTCAAAACATATCCATACCAAACAAAAAAGATGAATGAAGAACATACCATGAAACTGAGTTTTTTATGCTCAGTTTCCCATTTCATCAACCATGATTTGCCTTTTGGATTGATTTTTGAAACAAACATGAACACCTTCTCTTTGAATCCAGCTTTCCTCTCCTTGACATCTCCCATGGTGGGACTAACATATGCCTCCATCTTCACAGCCTTTTTTGCTGCAAGATTTTGGCCAAGCAAGAGGGATTTCCCGTGGAAACCATCTAAAACAATGAGAAAGGTGGGTTTTTTTTTTTGGTGTTCCCTCAAAAAACAAACTCTCACAGGTCCCTCAAGATTTCAACTCTAATACCATGTTGGATTTTTGAGGGTAAGAAGGAAGGGTTGAGAGAGGACTTGAAGAAGAAGGAGAGACACCCGGAGACGTAGCCATAAACATAGAATAGAACCATAAACATGGAAGGGTGCAGACATTCACCCAACCGGAGAAGAGAAACCATGCTCCCTTTCTCTCAATTTTCATCAATTTCTTCCTTCCTTTTTATAGAGGAAGGCTACACATAAAGCAATAATATTTTTCTACCTAAACTATAATTATTAACTACCTAAAACATTGACTAAAATGATGAAGTTTGCTGCCATTTCTTGTAGCCCATGTGAAGCTCCATGTTGCTGTCACTTTGCTGCTACTGTGCAGTCATGTTGCAGCATCATTTAGCAGATCTCATTTCATTGCATATTCAGCTTTCATGCAATTGCTCCAACAGGTTTCCGACTCACGGGTTGAAAAGCTAGGTTTTTTTTTTTTTTTTGAACTGAAGTTAAATGAAAAGCTGGGGTTTGATTTAAGAGGCTTAGGGTATTTTTAATTTACATTTGTAATTTTAAATTTATTAAATTATTTTTATCATTATTTGGACAAAATATTTAATGAGTTGGGTTGGTTTAAAAGATTGGGCTATTTAAATGGGTGGAATGGGTTAGACAATTTGGGTTGAGTTAATGTAACCCCCTTTATATATATATATATATATGGAGAAATGGGGAATTCCTGCAGAGACCTATGGAGTGGAGAAAATTTCCAATGATATTTTGTGGGAAAAAGTTCACTTCTATCCTTGCCCTATGGAAAGAGTATCCCTGGAATTTCTGTCCTCATGATAGGGATCTTTACGGCTCATGGTGCTAATTAACACCCCTACTTCAACAAAATATAAGAGATTTAGATTCCATTTGATAATGTTGTGTAATGCTCTCTTATAACTATAACTATTAGTAGTGCTATGTTGTACTGTTATGAAAAGTATTTTAGTGTTTACTAATTATATTTTAAAAAAATTACCTATTGTAAAATTACTCAACTAGATATATTATTATTTAAAATTAAATTAATTGATAATTTAATATATAATGTATAGAAAAGATTTGAGAATTTTATTAAATTATTTAGGAATTCTATTAATTTTGTATAAGATGATTTTTGTATTCCTTTATGAAAAAGTAGTGAATGAATAATTTATTAAATGCATAAATTATAAAAAGTTCAATAAATATGTGTGAAAAGTACTATAGGCAACAATGTCAAACAAAGCCTAAGAGACCTAAAGACTAAGGGTGAGCATTGGGTTTGAATACACCCATTGCTTGCAAGTATTTTATCCATTTGGGTAAATACCATGCTTGAATTGTAAAAAATTTGGGTAATTAAAAAGGGCCTAACCCCTAAATTCATCCCCGGCAAAGAGAGATATACCTCTAAAAAAGGGTAGGGATAAATTACCTTGCCAAACCGTTGATTAAGATAAATTACTCATTATTTAACATATTACATCATCATCTGTTAGTTTTCTATTAAAAACAAGCTTAGGTGGCAAATGGATTTTTGACTTGTAATGACATCACATGTTAAACAATGAGTGATTAGTTTTGATAGACAATTTGGAGTGGTAATTTGTTCCTACTTATTTTTGAGGAGTGGATCTGTCCTTACTTGCTTATTTGAGGGCAAATTTAGGGGTTCGACCATTAATGTGTATGAAAACAATAAATCCATAAATATTAAGTAACAAATATAGGAGTTTAGAACTATTTACTCAACTTATTTGACCTATTTGTTTAACTAATTAATTGTACTTGTATAATTGAAATTTTACATGCATGTGTTGATGAGCCTAAATTCTATATAGTTTCACATGGCTTTTAAGTCATGAATTGGAGTCTTCCATATTTTCTTAAAGTGATTTTATTTGGTTTTACATTGTTTACATCATTCTTTGTAGGTAGAGGGTAAAATTGAAGAAATGAAGAGTAAATGGGCTGAAATGACAAAAGTTGAAAAGATGAAGTCTAATTCCATAATTTCTCCATTTGAAGACTAGAATTAAAATTTTTTTTTCTTCTATACACGTGTGCACAACATTGGACATGTGGGGTTTCTTTCTTTAATTGAGGAGATGAGTTGGGCTTTTAATAAGGGCACACAGTTGGAGATATAAAAAGAGGAGGGGGTTGATGGAGTTGGAGAAGGGAGAGTTGGTAGACCAAAGCGAGATCTCTATGTGGGTGACAACATAAACAAAGGCAGCCACTGAGGAGATTTTAATTAAGAACAAGAGGAAGAGCGCACTACTGAAGAGTACAAAAATGGTTCCAGTGTACCAAAAATTTGGTTTTGCTTTCCTACACTCTACTTTTCCTTTGTTGGATATGGAATTGTGGTTTATCAATTTAATTTTAGATTTTATTATGAATAGTATGAACTAATTTAGCCATTTAAGGCTACAATGTAGCCTAGTCAATTTAATATAGAATTCCATGGTTTTTATTCTTTTAAGGTTTATTATTTTATGTAGAGTATATATTATTGTTTTCAATGCTTTTTAATGATTAGCCACTAGTAAAACTGACTTGGAGATCGAGTATAATTGAGATCAAGAGAAGATTTTTACGCAATAACATCTAGTAATATATACCATGAACTGAATAAAAACTAGAGATGGATCAATGTAATTCATGCAGTATTAGTGATAAGTGGACTTAATTTTCTATGTAAACTATGGAATTTCACATAACATAATGCATCTTTATCTATTTAAATTCACATAGAGATATAGTTGGTTAATAGGTTAAGATAGGTTTGGTATAACTTGAGAAAGTTTATTGAATAAGATAGGAAATCCCAGTGTGACATAAGTTATAAATACCTTGGAAATATATTAATCTAAACTTTAAATTAGCTGACTATGGTGAAATCAGATGCCTTAGAATTTTAACTCTTGGTGTCTCTTAAAATCAGTTTTGTTTTTCTTTTTTCAATTGTTTTAGTTAATTACTTTCTTCGAATCATTTAATTTCAATTGTTCAAATAAAATTAGAATTAATTAATTTTGGTACTTAATTAGTCTACGATCTCCGTGTGACGATACTCTATTTTCATTATTATATTACTTGAATTGACTAGTACTCTTGTTAGAATGAATTTAGCTCATCAAGTTTTTGGCGCCATTGCCAGTGATTGTTTTGATTCTAATTAATATCAAGATTAATTCTGGTTTTAATTTGAAAATGTTCCTTTTAATTGTTTAGTAGGGCTGCAAGTTAGTGCATGACTTGTTTTGAAAACACAGAACTTGCACCTTTTGATCCTGAGATTGAGCGCACTTTCATCAATTAAGAGGACAGCACTAGTTGTTAAGCAAATTGACACTATGGCAGAGGATCTAGTAACAAATCAAGCTATTTGAACATTGAAGGATTATGCTTCACCTTCAATTGAAGGGACTGTTTCAAGTATAAGGAGACCATCTATTCAAGTAAATAATTGTCACGCCCCAAAATCGAGAGCGAAACAAACGCCGTACACTTGTGAGAGAGGATCCCACAAATGCACAAGGCTTGAAACTTGCTAAATTCATTGCTAACAATTCGCATAAACTTAGATCAACATTTCAAAATAAAATTTAGCTTACAAAGAATAATCTACAACTCAAAATCTACATCCAAAATACAATGGTTGGCCTTCTAGCTTGTCATTCCCCCTTGTTTCTCACATCTTGGGTCACACTACCTGAAATGGTGGACAAGGAAAAAAAATTCTATGTGAGATAACTCAGTAAGTAAAAATATGGTAGCCCTCACTAGAATTTTAAAGCATGACAAGTAAACATTTTAATTTCAAACAGGAAGAAAATCACAGTTATAAATCATTTAGGCATACTGAAATCTATTTAGTGGTCCCCTCAATTAGTCATGGCCAGTTTATTCTCCCAACTGGTTGGATAATAGAAATACCAATGTACTCTCCTACTGACTATAGTAGAAAATGCCAATGTACTCTCCACTGGCTGGATGAACTGGTTCTACAGAAATACATATCGACATGTGCTAGTGTTTAACTCCCATGAGCAAGATAGCATAATTCATGACCATATTGGAGATAAAACCATGCAGGAGTCAACAATAAAATTCAAAATTCACAAACCAATTTCAGATTTCCAAAACAAAAAAAGAAACTCCATGTAGGCATGCACAGTTTAATAAAAATAATAACAACTTTCATTTCAAATCAATCATGCTCAAGTGCTAATAAAAATCAGGTTAGATCCTGCCACCATCTCAAAATAGTTTAAAATATGCTTTTAAAAGCCTTTACCTTAAAATCCAATGGCATTTACTATAATTTCTACTTACCTCGCCTTGTCACTATACATTAAGCAAGAATTTCAAGATCTCAAGGTTCTTGAGGTGTTTTAGAACCTATATCATATCAAATAAATATTTAGAATAGGCTTAAAACAACTCTAAAAGTCATGAAATAGTAGGTATTCTAAACAAATTTTATGGACAAAATAAGGTGAAAAATGGTGAGAAATTGAGCTCTTAGCTATCCTAGATGCAGCAGAAGTATTGGGTAGCAAAGTGGGGAGGGGGGGGTTTGCCATTTAAAGCAATCCCCAAATGCCTGGAATAAGCCCTGAACAGTAGGGATTTCTGGGAAAAAAAGACAGCAACAAAATAGGGTACAACACAAACTAGAACTGGACAAAAATGGACAAGCATTTAAGTAGAAAAAGGGAAACCAAAGTAAAGCAATAACAAAAGGGTTTTAGAGCAAAACAATAGCAGCTAAAAGTCTACTAAAACTATGATGTAATGTAGAAACAGATAAAGTGGGAATAAAACAGAAAAAAGAGCAAATTTCTATCAAGTTCTAGTCAGATTCCATACTGGAAATTCCAACAGAATTCACACCCAAAAATTGACTGATCTGGGTTGAGTGGTCAACAGATAAATTGTAGCCCTATGTCTTAGCATTCTATAGCATCAAGAATTACCTTAATCTGATGTCTACAGAAAGAGTTATGGCCAAAAGACTAACACAGGATCGGGCTGCCAGTTAAGTCTACCTGCGTGAATCAGACTTGCAGCAGATTTTTTTGCCATGAAAACAGCCTAACTGGGTTAAACATCCAACATAAAAGTTGTAGGGCTATCTCTTAGCTTTCTATAGAATTAAAAATGGACTTAATTCAATAACTACAGAAAGACTTATAAACAAAACACTAGAAAGGTCATGCTGCCAGTATTTCCAGCAAGAAAAGAAATCAGTTTTTTGGTTGTGCTAAATCAAGGACAAAATCAAGGGGAACCACAGCAACACTCTCAAAATTGAAAGCCCTAAAGGATTAAACATAACCCAACTTAAATCAAGGATGGAAAGATGAGTAATATAGTTGATTTCCTACTGAAAAGTGCTGGAATTTGGTGATTTCTTACTATGGACAGCAACCCAAAACAGATCAGCAAATTGGAGGATACAACAGCCCAGATTTGAAATTTTGTTCATGATTTTGAGAATCATAAGCCTATTAATCTCTAACCCTTGCTAGAAGAAGGAAGAAAATGCTAAATCTCACCTTATTCTTGGTGAAAAGAGGCTAGGCACAAGCTAGGGAACATGGAGGGAAAATTTCTGGTGAAGAGCTAGGGAAACACAAAACGGCAAGGAGAAAATGAAAGCCCTTAACTCCTTTTAATCACTAGATTTCTCTTTTCTAACCCCCATTAGGTTTGAAAATTTTAGTTATTTGGCCCCACAACAATAATTTCTCCTGTATAAATCCCTAACTTAAATTTTAAGGTCCTAGAAAATTTTGGAATATTACAATAACTTTGAAATTAAGCCATTAACAATTCAAATGATTCAACAATTTGCGCAGTTTTGTGGGTTGCCAAGTGATGATCCTAATGCTCATGTTGCTATACTTTTTAGAAATTTGTGACACTTTTAAGTATAATGGAGTTCCAGATGATACTATTAGACTAAGACTTTTTCCATTCTCTTTACGAGATAAGGCAAAGAATTGGTTAAATTCTTTACCTGTTAGGTCAATCACTACATGGGAAATAATGGCCCAAAAATTTTTAATTAAGTTTTTCCCTCTACTAAAACTACTAAGATGCGTAACAATATTGTCATTTTTGTACAGTTGGATATAGAGTCATTATATGAGGCATAGGAGAGATACAAAGAGCTACTCAAGAAGTGTCCACATCCTAGCCTACCTATATGGTTACAGGTACATACTTTTTATAATGGTTTATTTTCTAATATTCATACCATGATTGATGCAATTATTGGAGGATCATTAATAAGTAAAAGTCCTAAGGAAGCTTATAACCTCATAGAGGAGATGGCTTCAAATAGTTATCAATGGGGTTCGGAAAGATCACAAATTAGGAAGAATACTGGAATTCAAGGAGTTGATGCCTTTATGGGCTTGACAGCACAAATTAAGGCTTTGAAAAAAAATTTAACTAGGATGAATGTCTCAACTATCCAAGCCACAAGCATTAACTATGACTTGTGTGGGGGAGCACATCCTAGTTTTGAATGTCCAGAAGGAAATTCTTTTGTTTCTTCATCTAAACATGCTAATTTTGTTGGCTTTAATAAATAGCAAAATAATCCATGCTCCAATACTTATGATTTGAGATAGAAGCATCATCCAAATTTTTCTTGGATTAACAACAAAAATATAGTAAAGCAACCTCCAAGATTTTAGCAACCACCTAAGAAAAAGTTAGATTTGGAGGATTTGTTGAAAAAAGTTTATTGTTGCTAATGAATCAAGGTTTCAAAATCAAGAAGCAACAACCAAGAGCTTGGAAGCAGTAGTTCAAAACCAAGGTGTATCAATTCAAAATTTAGAGGTTTAGGTGGGTTAGTTGGCAAATGTAGTTTCTAGAAAAGCCCAAGGAGCTTTACTAAGTAATATTGAGAAAAATCCTAAGGAACAAGTGAAAGCTGTAACATTGAGAAGTGGGAAGCAAATTGGAGAAAAAGAAAGCTCAAACAATGAGGTTGAAAAAGAGGAAGCTCTAAAGGAAGAGAAAAAATCTCAAGAGCTGTTTAAAGAATCTGAGGAAGTCAAGTCTTATATGTCCCCAATTCCTTTTCCACATGGATTAAAACAACATAAGCTAGATAAGCAATTTGCTAAGTTTCTTGATATTTTTAAGAAATTGCACATTAACATTCCTTTTGTAGATGCTTTAGCTCAAATGCCTAGTTTCACTAATTCTTAAAGGCGATCTTATCTAATAAAAGGAAATTAGAAAAGTATGAGACTGTAAGGCTTATAGAAGAATGTTTTGCAATTCTTTATAATAAGCTTCCCCCAAAGCTAAAAGATCCAAGGAGTTTTATAATTCCTTGCACAATTGAAAATTTTTTGATAAAGTTTCATGTGATTTAGGAGCAAGCATTAATTTGATGCCATTTTCTATTTTCAAGAAACTCAGGCTTGATGAGGCAAAAGGAACAATAGTATCTCTTCAATTGATAGATAAACCTATCAAACATCCAAGGGGTATTATTGAAGATGTCTTGATAAATTTAGATAAATTTATCTTTCTTACTAATTTTATTGTTTTGGACATGGAGGAAGACCATGAGGTAGCTCTTATCTTAGGTCGACCTTTTCTAGCTGCTGGTAAAACTTTAATTGATGTGCAACAAAGAAAGTCGATGCTTAGGGTGGAAAATGAACAAGTTACTTTTAATGCTTTTGATGCCATGAAATACCCATTAGATATTGACTCTTATTTTATGATGGAAACAATTGATGAAATAGTTACTGAGATTTTGTAGGAAGATTCTTGTACATACCCACTTGAGGCATGTATTCTTCATTCCAAAGACATTACCACTGAAAATGAAGACATTAGGGAGTATGCATTTCATTTGGATGCTTGCCCGCCATTCTTGAAATCGAAGGAGCCAAGTATTCAAGATTCTAGAGCTAATATGCCTCGGCCTAAACCATCACTTAAAGAACCTCCAAGACTTGAACTCAAACCTTTACCAATTCATTTAAAATATGCTTATTTAGATGAAGAGCTTTCTTTGCCTACAATTATTTTTTCTTCTTTGATAGGTTTAATGGATGAAAAGCTTCTTTGAGTTTTAAGGGGGCACAAAAGAGCATTTGGTTGGATCATAACAGACATAAAAGGAATTAGCCCTTCACTGTGCATGCACAAAATACTCATGGAGGAAAGCTACCAACCAAGCATTCAATCACAAAGGCATTTAAACCCACACATGCAAGAGGTAGTAAAAATTGAGGTATAAAAATTGCTTGATGTTGGGATTATTTATACTATTCTTGATAGCTCATGGGTAAGTCCAATCCAAGTAGTCTCAAACAAAGGAGGTATGACAATTGTTATGAATGGACCTTTACCTTTCATTGACCAGATATTGGAAAGACTTGCTAGACATGCTTTTACTATTTTTTGAATGGTTATTTACGATATAATCAAATTCGTATTGCACTTGTAGACCAAGAAAAAACTGCTTTCACTTGTCCTTATGGTACTTTTGCTTATAGAAGAATGCCTTTTGGTTTGTTGCCTTTTGGTTTGTGTAATGCACCTGTTACTTTTAAAAGATGCATGATGGGAATTTTTCATGACATGGTAGAAAAAAATTATTGAGATTTTCATGGATGATTTTTCTGTGTTTGGTGACTCTTTTGATGCATGTTTGAAACATTTGGACTTGGTTTTACAAAGATGTGAGGAGACTAACCTTATTTTGAATTGGGAAAAGTGTCATTTTATGGTACAAGAGGGAATAGTGCTTGGACATAAAGTTTCTCAAAAAGTTATTGAAGTTGATAGAGCAAAGGTAGAAGTGATTGAGAAATTGCCCCCACCAATTTCTATGAGGGTTGTGAGGAGTTTCCTTGGACATGTAGGATCTTATAAGAGATATATTAAGGATTTTTCTAAAATAGCTAAACCTTTTTCTAATCTCTAAGCTAAGGATATTCCTTTTAAATTTTCTGATGAATGTTTGCATGCTTTAAACATTTTGAAGGAAAAGCTTATAAATGCACCCATCATGGTGGCACCAAATTGGGATCTACCTTTTGAGCTTATGTGTGATGCAAGTGATAGTGTTGTGGGAGCTGTTTTGGCACAAAGAAAGAACAAAGTTTTTCAAACCATATATTATTCTCGCCACGCCCTTTCAGAAGCTTAATTGAATTATACAACCACATAAAATGAACACTGAGTAGTAGTATTTGCTTTTTGATAAACTTCATTTTTATTTGATTACTAACAAAGTTATTGTTTGTACTAATCATTCTACTCTTAAGTATCCGCTGGCAAAGAAGGATGCAAAACCAAGGTTAATTAGATGGATCTTATTGTTACAAGAATTTGACCTAGAGATAAAAGACAAGAAGAGGATTAGAATTCAGTTGGTGATCATTTGTCAAGGCTTAAGAATCCTAGCCAAGAGGTAAGGGCATGCCCAATTAAGAAAGAATTTCCAAATGAGCAACTTTACACTATCAAGGTGACATCTTTTCCCTAGTTTGTTAATTTTCTGAATTATTTGGCATGTAATATTCTTCCCCCTGACTTATATTATTAACAAAAGAAGAAATTCTTTTTGATGTGAAAATTATTTTTGGGGGACCTTTCTTGTGTAGATCGTGTGTAGATAAGATTATTAGGAGATCTGTCCCTAAAGAAGAGGTAGCTAGTATACTTCATCATTGCCATACTCAAGAAGTAGGTGGTCATTTTGAAGCCACCAAAACTACAGCTAAGGTCCTACAATCAGGTTTTTATTGGCCTTTTATTTTTAAAGATGCATTTTCTTTTGTAGTTTCATGTGATCAATGTCAAAAAAGTGGAAATATTTCTAGGAAAATAAGATGCTTTTAAACAATATGCTTATATGTGAATTATTTGATATTTGGGGTATGGATTTCATTGGACCTTTTCCATGTTCTTTTTCTAATCAATATATTTTAGTAACTATGGATTATGTGTCTAAATGGGTGGCTAAATTCAATAAATAATCTATTAACTATGTAGTTTATTTCAGTTTAGTTTAGAAACAATTTTTTCTTTCAAAATTATCTATAAACTATCAATTTTGTTTCAAAATGATCTACTTGACAAACGTTCTATTAACTAGCCTAACATAATGTTGGTCTAGACAAGTTGGTATAAACAAGTTGCCGCCCAAACTTTTGAAAAATGTTAAATATAGTACATATATTTTTGTTTTTTGCAAATTTTGATTTTAAAGTTTAAATTTTATGTCAAATGTGATAATTAATTAAGATAATAATTTTAATTTACATTGATCATGATTTTAATTTTAATTTATAATAATCAATATTATAATTTAAATTTTATTATTTTTTAAAAAACTTAATATCATTATTAAATTACATATTTTATTCACTAATTTGTATAGAAAAATAAAAAATTTTATTTTTATTTTTGTAATATCCCAAAAGTTTTTGATATTTTAGCATTTAAGTAAGGGTTTTTGTGAGAGACAATATTGTTTTGGGGCTAAATAACCAAAATTTCAAAGTTCAGGGACTTGAAAAAGAGAAAAAAATTTGGATAAGGATCAACTATTTTTTTTTTCCCTTCTTTCTTCCCCATCCATTTTCACGTTTCAGCTCTTCCTTTTTCTCCCCTGCAGCCGAACAAGAAGCAAGCTGCCAGCAACCCTCCCTTGAAGAAAAATCAGTAAAAGCTTGGTATTTTTCCCTTCTTTTCTTGTTCTAGAACACATATAGAACCCAAAAATCTTCCCCCCTCTGCAGAAAAATCCCGGATTTGCTCTGCTCTGTCTTCACCGTCTGCTGCTCTTGCTTGTGGGTGCGAATTTCTTTGATTTTTGGGTAAGAAACAGCCACTAATTCCTTTGTTCTTCCTTGAATTGGCTTGGGTTTACTTTGATTTCTCTTGGTTTCTCCAATTTTCGGTAGTTTCCCCTAAATTTTCTGCACTTCCCGCCAGCCTCCCTAAGCCACAGCTCTGGTTTTTGCTGGAATTCTGGTATGTTGACAACCCCTCCAAGCCCCGAATTTGTCCATTAATTACTGCCCTGTGTGTCCGAATTTTCTGCTGGAAATAGGGGAGAAATTTGACAGTAATTAGACCATGATTTAGCTTAATTCATGTAGAAAATTAGTTTATTTTGGCTGTTGTGATTTTGGAGAAAATCTCGTGAGATTAGGTATGGTTTTGCAAATTTTTGGAAGTTGCAGTTACTGTCCATTGCGTGATTACTGTTCACGGGTACTGTGTATGAACTAATGGCCAACAATTAATGGGGATTAAATGTTTAGTTTGTAATATAAGAATAAATTTGGAAATGTTCGGTCATATGGAGACTAATAGAAATAGCATCGTGATTAGGGGTGATCCTAATGAAGTTTTCACTTTGAATTTGTGATAGTATGGTATTAATTCTGAGGTATTTTGATTAGGTTCTTGAGTGTTCTGTCACTCGAGTACTTGGCTTGAACTCCAGATTTGAGGTTAGTAAATTATGGTAACGCCCTTCAATTTCAAAGCATGTTTTAAATTGTTTTTGAAATGGTGGCAAGGTTTAAATTGATTTTATTAGTTTAAATTGATTTTATTAGCACCGAGCATGATTGATTTGAAATGGAATTATTTTCTTTTTCATTGAGTAGAGCATGCCCACTTGGAATTTACTGAACTACTCTGATGATTTGAGAATTTTTGTGAATTGCGGATTTTTCTGTAAATCCTGCATGGTGTTGTCTCTGATATGGTCATGTTATCCGTGTGCCCGCTAGTGGGAGTAAATACTAGCACATGTCGACATGTTTACTACTATGACCGGTTCATTATGTAATCTTGCCAATGGGATAATACATTGGTAATTTCTTACGCCTGCCATTGGGCAAATACATTGGTAATTTCTAACGCCTGCCACTAGGCGAATACATTGGTAAATTTCTGACTCCTGCCAATGGGCGAACACATTGGTAATTTCTGACGCCTGCCAGTGAGTGTTAAACGCTAACCATGACTTATAGATGAGACTACTACTGAATTTTCTTTTGCATTAACAGTTTGTCATTGAACGCTTTGCTATTGAACTGAATCTTATTTTGTAGTAACAGTTTATCATTGAACGTTTTGTTATGTTAAACTGTTTATCAGGCATGCTAAAATTTTACTTGCGGGCTATCCATATATTTACTTACTGAGATATTTTATCTCACCCAATTTTCCTTGTCCACCATTTCAGGAAGCGAAGTCAAGGACGGCAAAAAACGAGGGGAGTGATGAGTTATAAGGCTAGCCATCTTGTAAATTGAACATAGATTTTAGATATAAATCGTGATCTTGTAAGCTAGACTTTATTTTAAAATTTTATGATATCAGAGTAAATTTTGTAATTTTATCTTCAGATTTTTCGTGGTATCAGATTGTAGTATGATATGTTCTGAGCCTTGTGCATTCGTGGGACTCGTTCACGAGTGCACGGCATTTGTTACGCCTTAGATTTGGGTTTTGGGGTGCGACAATTTTTAACACTAATAATACATGCATGATTTTAATTTGGGGATTTATAAAATTGAAAGGAATTTTTAATTTTTCAAGTAATTTTAATTATGTGTGGGTGCTCATTTAATTAAATTAAATATTGGAATGGTATATTTATTAAAAATATTAATATTTAATAATAAACTAAATTTTTTTAGAAATAATAAAATTTAAA